TGTAGAGACTTGATCAATGAGCTTTGCAGCTCTCTGCTGCAGGCAGACTGTTTGTCGTCGAGTGTATAATGCGCATGCGTAGTTTTTCTTGGGGAACATTCTAACTACACATGCTTATGCAGCAGGTTCTCGGTGAGAAAGCGTAACGGTCGTACGTACAAACAAACAAACAGAATAATAGTATACATAATTCAAATTATGATAACCCATATGCATTTATTACAATTATAACTCATCTGCCATTTATTTGCCCAACCCGTTACATAATCTAAATCCTTTTATAAATCAGTAGCATCCTCTTCACAGCTAGCAACACCCAAGACCTTAATATCATCTGCCGATTTAAGTAATTTATTGACCATTTCTTCATCTATATCATTGATGTAAAACAAAATGAGCAAAGGTCCTAAGACTGAGCCCTCAAGTACCCCACTTGTGAAATTAATCCAGTTTGACTGAACTCCATTTGTAACAACTCTCTGCTTTTTACAAGCCTTCCTGACACTCTCCTTCATTTGTGAAACTGACTGTTACAATCAGGATTTTGAAACGATCCCCATAAGCTAATCACTGTTGACTGATGGGGTAGAGAGGGTTCCTTCAAAGATCTGTATTTTAAAACTGATCAAAATATTCTGGAAGGTCTTTATTGCTATTTTCAACATTCTACACATTATAATTGGTTCAGACCCCCTTTCCATACAGGAATGTAAGCATAACTAATCCCAGAAAACAATTAAATATAATATTTTTATATTTCTACCATTTGTGTATCTATTTTTCTCATTTGTATTTAATATTTTCTTTGGTTTTTGTTTTGCACTGGAAAAAACGGAATACATACCCCTTGAATCCTCCCTTTCAGTATATGGCGAGTTTTTTCTTGTCAGTAAATTGTATAATAGCTAAGAGAGCATGCCCTTGACAAACACACGTGCTCACTCAGTGTGGGCCTGGGTGCAGAGTTTGGCTTTCTTTATATTAATTTATGGAGATTTATTGTCATATCTAAAGTTAGATTTGCCCCAGGAGCACCAGATTTTTTGTTTCAAGTATTAAGGACAGCCTCAGTATAGGTATCTGATGATTTTCTTTCTTCTTTTGTTTTCTTAATGTTTGCCTTAAGCAAATAGTGTTATTTTGTATTATAGATAAATAAGGGTTTTGAGGGAACCATAGTCCTTTCTTTTAATGGTGGAGATTTTACAGTAAAATCCAAGCTTTAATTGGATTTTACTTAGTTTTTTAAGAGCGATTTTAATTTAATAGGGTTATTTCCAGTTTATTTTAGTCTATCTTACAGGGGAGTTACATTTGAACTGGTAAAAACTTTCAAATAAAGTTTATCTCTACCACTCTCATCAGTTTTACACACACGAGGCATTTGCCCAGTTATTTTGTATTGTGTTTTGTTTAAGCATTTTTATCAATTTGGGTACATGTGTGTCACAAACCAGGTTGTAGCAACACTTTCACACCTGATATCCTAGAGCCTCCAGTTCACGGGCCTAACTGCTTACTCTGTTTATCGTTACTTATAATTTGTTTGCTTTGTACATCTATGCATATTTATACTATTCCTAAAATATAGGACTTTTTTTTTACTTTTTTACCTGTTTGTGTAATTTTCTTCCAAATGACTTTTTTTTCCATTGCTTATATTACTGCTACTGCTGAGGTACATCTGCAAGCTGTAAAATACTACAATATAGTGTGAGTTACTGAAACTTTATTAGCTTTTGAGAACATCGATAATCATGTTAACAAAAATCAGGATGTAGTTACAATAGTTAAGTGAATAACATTCGGAGAAGAGCAATAACTGCATAATGAAGTTTGATGTTTTGTTACATAATATATTGTAGTTCCTAATTTTCAGAAAACCAATTCTGAGGTCATGACACAAGATTTATCATTAGAACTGAGACACTGAGTTAAAATTTATTTAAGGTAAGCTAGTTACTAAAAACAGAAAGATCAAACTTATTTGGCTCATTATTATTTAATTAAAGGAGAATAATATAGCTAAATAATACAAGTTTAAAAATTTTAAAATTACTGATAAAATGGAAGACTTACAGAACTAAAGGAAAGCTAGGAAACTGGTTAAAAATATAACTTAAGAAATCAAAACAGCTTATAAGAAAGAGCTGGCTGATAATGTTAATACTAACACCAAGGATTTTGTTGACAACAATAAGATAACGAGTTTTTAAGTGTTCTCTTCTGTTTTTACAAAAGAGATTTCAATAACATTTCTAATGTTAATCCTTTGATGGTAAGTAAAAAGATTAAAACAAGCACAGGACAGCACAATGTTTTTCTCAGGATTTTAAAAGAGGCCAAAGATCAGACCTGCAAACCTATCTTATTTCACTTTTGATAGGTTGACAGACAGTGGGCAGATGCACGAGGACTGGAGAATTGTTAATGTTACTTCTTTCTGGAGTGGTAAGACTTTCCTTGGAAATTAAAGACCAGTTAGTTTTACCTTTCTAGTGGGAAAATTTCTAGAAAGTAAGATAAAAGGTTTGCAAAATCATTTAGTGAAATATATATTAGAGAGAGAGAAGATGGATTAACTAAAGGAAAATACTGCTTTACTAACATGTAACATTATTTTAGTGAGGTTCTTACTTGTTTTCAATATGATGGAGAGGGTGTGGACTTTGTGTACTTAGATTTTCAAGATTTCATAAGTCGCCACACAGAATAATAGATAAGTAAATCACATAAATGGGAGATGGGGAAACTAGTTAACTGGATTGTGGGGAAAGTAGGTGAGAGAAAACAATAATTTATTATTAATGTTCAGTCAAACTAGTCCTTTGTTACTTAATGGGTCAGTGATTTGTGTTATTTAAACATGTTAATAACTCAATTAGTAAATGTTTGCTAATAACATTGAATATTTTGGTATTTTTAGTTGTTTTGAAGATAGTGATGTACTACAGAATGACTACAATAATTTAGAAACTCAAAAAACATTTGGGAAATGACTTTCAATTATATAAGTGTAATGTAATGCATTTGGATTTCCATATATTGAAACAACCATTTAATGGAAGTATTTGCAATACCATGACTGGAGAAAAGAATCTTGACACAGTGTTGCAAGTAGCAAAGTTAGTAGAATTTTAAGAGGTATTAATAAAGTACTGATTAATAATGAAGAAAAAAAAGTTAATACCTCTCTATAGAAATCAGTAGCTACGCCTTACTTGAAACACCATAAGAAAGAACTTACTGGAAAAGAGAGTTCAGAAAAGGGTTACTACGATGGAATAAGTCACCTCTTTATTTTCTCTTGAATGAGAAGTGATCTTATTGAAGCTTACAAGATTATCCAGGGATCAAATGGATAAAACCCTCTGATTTATTTATTCCAACTTTTAAACATAACAGTATAAGACATTTGATTTGGAAATGATGGGCTAAGTTCAAATTAAGGCAATTTTATTTTTCTAATAAAATGACTAGCTTTTGGAATAAAATTTCAACAGTAGTAGTCAAGAGAATATAAGGGAGGAATATATTCATTCCTGAAAAAATAAAGGATGGGTTTCATTTTTACTTTTTCTTTTGAGGATCAAATGGTGCCTTGTTGACTATAGGTTATGAGAACATTTGGTATCCTTTAACAGTGAATACTGTGTATTTTTGAGTTTTGTTTCTACAACAAAAACCTTTAAAATCTAAATTTTTAAGAGGCTTCTTCAGCCTATTGTATATATGTATATTAGGAACATCAATTCATACTGTTTTTAAATTATAATTTGAGTGATAAATACAACTTACTTTTAGTAAAAGAAACCTTCTGTTATTTACTAAATAGAATCAGCAAGAAAAATTCACATGTTCTTTAGCTCAATCTAATAATAATGAAAAATCTCTTATGCTGAAACAAAGCTTTGTCAGAACATTAAAATTCTTGAACAGTATAAATATAGGTGTACACTTATTGCAACGTATCTGAATAAATGTTGAGAAAGCTCAATATTCAATGGTACACAGCACAGAATTTTAAGCATAACACACTACTTTTAAAATTACATAAAGCCTTTCAGTTGAACAAACACAAAAAACTACAAATACATTATTCAGAAAAATACCTTAATTTTCATTTATATTTAAAAAGTTACAAATTTTTCTTTCTGAGTAGAAACTGTCTATCCCTGTGTTGATTCTAAGCCATAGCTATTAAATAGTATTCAACAAACTAAGTAAAGAATTCATTGTAAAAGATTATAACAAATTTCATGTTTCTTTCTCTATCCTCTTCAATATTCATAATTTTAATAACTATGCTATAGCTTCTTGCAAACATATTTTTATTTTATCTTTTAACATTCATAAAATTTGGGTAATTTGCATTATTTCACCATTATTATTCTCTTCTGTAAACACTACAAAACTAAAGGTTAAGTTTAGGTGAAAGTATATAAACATTGACTTTAGTTCAATATATCAGATAAATCCTTATGACACTAATAACATACTTCCTAAATGTACAGTGAAAATAATATATATACAAAGTGAAAAGATCTGAATGCATCAGTAACATCTTTTATTTACTTTATAATTACGTCCTAGAACAAAAGTTTAAGACCATCGGTAGTGAGCAAAAGCCTTATTAGCTTCACACTGCTTATGAAGATCTTGTTTTTGTTTGACCACGCGACCTTGATTATGAAAAGCATCTAAAATCTCTTTAGACAGTTGCTCTGGAAAGTGAACTGTTCTTTCCTTGTTTTTTCCCGCTTCGATAAGCCACTTCATTGCTATAAAAGTCGACTGCTTTGGAGTCACAGGAACAGGTACCTGGTATGTCATGCCTCCTCTCTTGATGGGTGTCAATATAATAATTGGTTTGCAGTTTTCTAGTGCACGATGAAAAATGTTTCTGGGAGATAATTCTATATTTAGTTTACTTTCTGCACTGGATGCATGAAACTTTGCAAGTTGTGTTCTTTTTATCGCTACAAATGTTTCTTCTACAAGCTCTCGAGCAAGCTTTTTCTGACCTTTCCTCATAACTATATTAGTAAAGTGATTTATAACAGAATCTCGAAAAAGGGAACTCGACAAATCGTTAGGTGCTGCCTTCACTGGAGAAAACGCTAATTCCTTCATAACACCTTCTTTTTGTAGCTCTTCGAGGTCATTCTTTTTAGGTACTGCATCAATAAACGTTGCTGGATATCTGCCATGTCGAACTTGAATTTTCTGTAAAATCATGCGTTTATACGGTTTACTAATGCAATCAATCATCGATCCCAACTTATACGCCGCCATTTTAATCACACCTAAATGTTTCACAGATGGCAGTAAAAAGCAAGAAATATATTGATAACACATTCCTGCGAATTTATACTTCATAAATAACGGATTTTTCCATA